ACGGCCGTGCCTAATGAAGCATGGTCCGTATACACAACGAACGTTCCACCTACCAGGAGATAGTCACAAATATTAGCGAGTGCATATTTCATGGCAAGATGTTCCTTATATTGCACTGGGTATTTACGCTCAGCAGCTTGGAGCTGACGCGATTGATAGCATACGACGCGCTATGCGCCATCCGCATTAAATTGCATCAACGCACAGCCGATAGCAAAATCGCTGGCGTCACAGACCACACGAAATGGTCGGACCGGATCTTCAATCTCCGGTATGGGCGATTGCATCAAGCTCTGCTAGATACCTTCAAAGTAACGCTGACAGTCAGCATTCCACGATCACTTCACATTTGCTTGAGTAAACAAGTAAGATGCACAGTCATCTCGGAGTATTTGCGCTAGTACTTGTGCAAATACGCCGCTATCCCAAGGGACTTACGAAGTCCCTTGACATCGACTGGCACGGACAGCCGGTGATCTCCTTGATATTTTCGAGATCAGGAATTACGCCGTGTTTGCCCGCGATACACCCAAGAAGTGGTATTTTGCTTGCCGCTAATATACAATTTTTGAGATTGGCGTACGAATTATTTTTGCGCAAAAGTTGAAGAACCTGACAAACGTGTGTTGTGTAAACTTCAACTTCAGTCTTTCCGTCCATATACCTGCTACGGACGAACGCATCGTCGAAGTAATTCGGTGCGAAATCCCGCACCGGTCTCAATAGATCTATTACACTTTCGTTGAATGTGATAAGGGCGTTAATCAGCTTCTGTGGATTCACTAGCACCTCCACAGCATACCGCTGGTGGTGCTCACTACTGTGTACAGGATGTCCCGTTCACGCATAAGTATCTGATTGAATCCATCCATCAGATCCGTGGACGAGAAGATGGTACTATTTGACATACCATCTAAGATAACGCCCTTTCTCGGTATCGGCGTCTGAGCCGGTACCGTTGCAGCATTCAACTTGCTGAATGCGTGCACTATCCGCCACCCTCCTGTGGCCTTTCGCACACAGAAGGTCGGAGAGCTGTGAGGAGGAGTTGATTCCCTCATATGGCCCGCTGATAAGCGATCGGCAAAGAACTTGTCGACCGCGAGTACTTGTTCCTGAGGCAGTGGCCACTGCTCCATGACGCAGTACTTCGAGCACGGTTTGAGCTCGATCTTGTGTCGAGTGCCTTTGTCCTTAGGCAACTCGCAAGGTACGGATTTAGGGAACACATCCCTGAATTCCATTAATTCCTTATACAAAGGATTTGACTGAAGTGACTTCCAGGATTGAGACGTGTATCGCTCAATCCGAGTCCTCTCATCGAGGACACTTTCGTCCATCGATGAGCTGCTGAGAACCCGTTCGTTCTCAGCAAATACTGTTGCCGACCGAATGTCGGCCACATACTCATCCTCCGTGACGAGTATGCAGATCTGCTTGACTTTGCCACTACGCAGATCACGCAAGAACCGTTTCGGTTCTAGCTTTGGCAACTGAGTTATCTCCGAAGTTGACTTCGGAGGCACAATCATATCAAGCGTATAAGAGTCTACGCTAGCCCTTTATTGGTTAAGTCATTAACGTCTCGCTTTCTTCCTGTGAACTTGTTTTCGCAGGATGCCGAGGGCTTTTACGCTTAGTCTGCTGAGAATCTAATCTTTCAGCAAGTAACTATTGAAGAATTTCTTTCTCAAACGCATAAGGACTTATTTTTTCTCGACGTCTTCTGACAATGGCTGTGCAATTATAATCAGGTCCACACCCTCTACGTTCGACTCTCCAGTCGACCTCTCATTACCGTGTTGTCGCTTTTGGACAGCCCGTTTGATTTTTCTTGGGTTCTTTGCGCCAGGCATGCATCCATGTCCCGGTCTACTCGACTTCTTCGAGTGGTGGAACTTTGGCGCTGTCTGTACTTCTGTTTAGCCGCCGGGGCTTGCTCCACAGTGTAGTGATCATTGACACTGGGATCTTGTGCATTCTCGCTAACGACCGTACAGCAAGTGAGGCCATCGCACTAACTCGCAGTACATTCACACGCTTGTGGACGCTCCATGACTTTCAACAGATGGCCATCTGATGCACAAGCGGCAGGCATCTTCACGGATCGATGCTGCCAGCTCACACTTGGCTCGTACTTTCTGAGCCAAGGTATCCACCCCAGGATGACATCAAATTTGTCATCCGGATCCAGTACGATGAAGTCATCATCGTACCGTTCGCCCTCCAACGTGTAGTGGATTCCTGCTACACGTTTCTCAACGGTAATCGATGCGCCTGATGCAAGGCGCACCGTCATCCTCGTGAGGGGAATGTCGCGCTCATCGAACTTGAGCCAACGACCCTCTAGTGACTGGAGACGAACAAAGTTGTTCGACGCCCCACAGTCTACTAGAGCACGAAGCGATAAATCATTTGTCGCTTCCAACTTCAAGGTGATGATTGATATCTCATCACCAGGTGCAGATACATAAACGGATTGTGTATCCGAAGCTACTTTCGTCAACAGATTTGCAAATTTTGTTATGAGGCTGTCTAGCTCGGTAGGTCGCTCCGACCCTACGGACCCGGACCGTATCGCGACGGTCCGCCTCGCTGTTGCGACTTCAAATTGGCGTCGGACCTACATCCACTGCCCTTCTTAGCAGACAGTCGAAAATTCCGCTCAGTGTCTTGAGACACTGCGAGTGGGGAACCACACTCATATGAGTATTGGCCTGATTTCTGACAGCAATTGCATCTCTGTAATGCTTCTGGCAGCTCTCTGCGAGGCCCTGCATGAACACAGTAACCAACGCGTGTTCATTGAGCGGATTGGCCGGTATGCTACTCGCGAGGAGTCTTATATGTTGATCTTGAGCGTTCACATCACGCTTACCCTGCCTGACTTTAAGAGCTCTGATCGAGACCTAAGCTCAGACCGTGTCGGATCGAACGTTTACCGAAGCCGGTCTGGAAGGTCTCTAATGATTCAAAATCATATAGGTCGCTTCTCCCCAGCCTTAAGACCCAAGTCTTGGCACGTACCGCCAAGTGGGTTTGAGCAAATGTGAGTTTTATTTGCTCATCGTCGATATGACGTGCCTTTATGGTTCTGTCTAGTTCGACGAATCGTATCAACAAGGTATCTTCCTCGGCTCCTCTATACTTGGAGATATCGAACTTCAAGATCTTGGGGCGATGCGTGTGTGACGTCCCGCCCACAGCAGCATTAAATTGCTGCTGTCTCAGCAGCTTCGTCTGCTGAGCACCGAATTCTCATAACTGCTCGGCCTGTTGAGAGCCTTGCTGGTGTAGCAAGGCTACTTTCTCTGTTTCGGCGAAAAGTTCATTTTAAATGAACCTGGCTATAGCGGTATGTTGGTGGTCTCTGTTAAGAGACTCCAACATGGCGCTAATGGCGGTTTATCCTACGGTAGAGCTCATACGTTCTACCGCACTCCATTCGATGTCACTCGAATGGTTAAAGCCTTCACGCATGGCGTGAAGGCTCTCCTCCTCATCCAATATGTTCATGCTGAATGAGGTGGTTGTGGTCGCTGAAAGGTCTACGAAGTGCTACTAGGTGTAACAGGGCACGCTCTTGTCAGATGATTGGCAAGACCTTGTGCTGACTGAACACAAGGCAGCGTGCTACTGACGTCACGTACACTTGGCGAGGAAGCGCAACCGAAGCAAACATAACTCGGAAGCTCTGTCTGAGGGAAAAGTAAAACTGTTATTTAATATAGTTAAGCTTCTTACTAAATCGTCTTTCGTCTTGATCCAACCCCTTTAAACTGTCATCTCTTATGTGGGCCTCTTGCTCACCGCCCATTGCACGCGTCCAGCAGCGATCGGTGATTAATTTAGTTGTTGCACCGTGTACATCAACCAAGAAGTGGAGCAATCACGAATATTACCCTCGAGGATATTGTTCTGCCAGCATTACCTATTTTCGAGTAATTTCAGTTGAAAACTATCTAAAATAAATAATATTCCAACATTGATACATTCGTATCAATTTTTAGGTAACGGGCTCACCCCGTTACATCAATGATGCAATGTAGATTTTTTACTATGTGGCACATTTTGTCTATGTGAAATCGATGCACTTTCGCGCCTTTTTTAAGCATCAGCGTAATATCTTCATGTTAATGTGCCGAACGATATAAATTTATGGGAAAATGAATCAGTTATGCCTGACGCGTGTTAGTCCCCGATTTACGTACTCAGCACAATTCTTATCTAGGTGCGTCGTACACCCAACCAAGTATGTACACCTAAACACGATCCGCTGTCGTAGCTGTATCGCTATAGTATATTACCCCTACAGCCTCTATGATCCAGTGCCGTAGATAGTGGAGGACTCACAAGACCAAGTAAATACGGTCGACTTTGAGCTGGCGCAATTCTTTGTGAATCTCTATTTACATACAAATTTGGTATGTTACAATCTAAGAATATTTCCTTTTTACCTGATGGTTTGTGACATCAAAGCGAGGGAATAGTCTCCATCCCATTATTTTCTACCCAATGATATCGAACATTCGACTGCACACACGAGTGCTCTTCAGATTGGCACGATGAGTCTACGTGATCGGAAGAAGCACGACATTCTATGCACGAGCACTAGGTGATCAGAAGCTGCTTATTATTCGCTCAGGTTTATCCCGTCATGACCTCGTGCAGAGTCGAAGGGCGCAAGATGTCGAATAGACCGCGTATTTGTCCGAAGTACAAGTGTGCTTTAGCAATGACACGAAGCACGTTTTTCTACACAGTCGGTAGGTGTCCATCCGCTCTAAACTACGTAGCGTCGTGTCATTCGATGCGCATTCAGACGCCAAGATCGACAAGTAGCAAATGTAATTTATCAGTCACGCACAACAGCTTTGTTCCACCTACATCATATGAAGACTGCACTGGCACAAGTACCTCATCCGTGCCGAAGGGTCACCGGTATGCCTTCAGTGTTCTGCGCAGACTTGATGCGTCGATTCCTTGTTTCGCTTCTCGGCCTAGAACCAGTCGAAAAGCTTCTTAAACCCCTTCCTGCGTGAATGGACCTTCTCTTCTTCTTCTTCTCCGGAACGGAGGGAGGCGGGAACAACGTTGCCCGTCCATGGCTTGGTAGGAACGTGACCGCCACCCCAAAAGCCACCATCGCTACGGCCGCGGCCAGAGCTGCCAAGACTAAAGCCGCCACGACCAAAGCCGCCACGTCCACCGCCGCCACTTCTACCTCGCTCTTCCCCACTGTAGCTCTTGATAGGCTTCGCCTCTGTCGCTTCAATCTGGTTCTCAGGGCTCATGGCGCTCGAACTGGCTGCGGCTAGAGTCACTGCTGCGAAAACTAGAAAACCGGCCAGGCGCATGATACTGATCGGCGGTCAGGACGGGAGGTGCTTCGGTCTCGTGTGTGCAAAAGAATAGTGGTGATGACTGGTGCCGGACGATTTCTGAGTGGAACGAATGTTTAAAATCAGTTTCATACGCCTTTACGCCGATCAGATACTGCTACCGGCCACTTCCCAATTTGGACTAATCGAGCAACAACGGACAGAGGCGAAGACCTCCTAAGAGCCAGTCATCTGACCCCCTTACCTTGGACTTGAAGTCTCCCTTAGTGGGGTAAAGGTCAAAAGAGGGAGGCTTTTTCTCCGCTGCGTGCTACGGGAGGCAACGCAGCGTGCGATCCGAGAGGGAAGCAATCCTCCGGCATCCCCGTGCCTTCGTTAGTTCCTGCTCTTCACGAAGTGCCTCCCCTCTCGCCGACCCGTTCGCTGCGCGAGATACCCACTCCCACGAAGTGAACTCTCCTAGGAACGTGATGACCTGTTGAGATTCAGTATTGGTCGTGTATGTAGAGTAAGCACCAGGCCACGAACCCCTTCGTCTCGTGGTGCGCCTGGGCACGTCTGCACTAGATTGTGTAATGGGATCGGCCCGAAGAGCAGAGCAAGTCGATCACCACGGAAGCGGCCAGGGATTACGTCAAGATGGCACGCTAGGACTTCCTAGCTGGAACAGGCCTCCTAGCCATGCGTCCTCTGTCCCCTGAAGCAGATGAAGCGCGAAGCGACGCGCAGCCCAGCCATCCGGCCAAGAGTGCGCACAAAGTTCTAACTCCGGACTTGGCCACAGTCGTTATCACGCGGCCTTTCGAGAGTGTCCCCCGTGACGCGTGGAGCATCGAGCCAGCAGAATGAGAAACGTGGTAGGAGAAAGTTCGTGTCATGGTCGATGACCGAGGTGGTTTCCACACAACAGACATCTGACGAGTGGTAAGTAGCTCTAATAGACAATCTGACCTCTCTCTCAGATACTGCTACCGGCCGGAAGAGCAGCGATGTGAGACTTGCTTACGCCATGATACATCAAAGCTACAGAGTGGCAATACAGTCGGCAGATCCGGTCAAAGGGGGGAGGAACGGGCATACGTCACCGATCTGAGAGTTCCATGAACTACGACTTCAAATACCATGCGAATGGCTTGTCCGCAACGTACGTGCAGATTTGCTTGGGTTCGAGATAAGCATCCAGCCCGAAAGGTCCAAGTTCGCGGCCGATACCGCTCTTCTTGACACCGCCCCACGGCAGCTCTACGAAACACGGCTGCGAGCAATTGTTCCAGACAATGCCTGCACGCAGAGCCACTGTTACGCGCTTCAGTTGCGTGTCGTTGGACGAGAAAACGGCAGCTGCCAGACCGAAGTCGGAGTCGTTCGAAAGAGCGACGGCTTCCTCCTCCGTCTCGAACGTCATCACTGATAGCACTGGACCGAATATCTCTTCCTTCCAGACGCACATATTCTTGGAAACATTGGTAAGAATGGTCGGCGGAACGAAGTAGCCCTTGCCCTCGCTAGGAAGCATTCCTTGGACGACCGTCGCTCCTTCGTCCTTTGCACTTTGGATGTACCCCAGCACCTTCTCCTGCTGGGCCTTTGACACCAGTGGACCCATTTGCACCTTACTGTCCAGCGGGTTCCCCAGCACGAGTCTCTTTGTCTCCTTCACGAGCCTTGCAAGGAGTTCATCCGCAATGTCCTTGTGCACTAGCAGTCGTGACGTCGCGCTGCAGATTTGACCGTTGGTCCAGAAACAGCCGAACATGACCCACTCGACCGTGCGGTCCAAATTCACTCGGTCGAATACGATCGCAGGTGACTTACCGCCTAGTTCCAGAGAGATCTTCTTAATCTCCTTAGCCGCCTCGGCCATGATGCTGCGTCCGATTGGCACGCTTCCTGTAAAGGCCACTTTGTGCACGTCCGGGTGAGATACCAACGGACCTCCAGCTTCCGCTCCGAAACCGTTCACCACGTTAAAGACGCCGGCGGGCAGTCCAGCGTCGACTGCGATCTGGGCCAATTGCAACGCACTCAGTGGGGTGACTTCCGAGGGCTTGAGCACTACAGTGCAGCCAGCAGCAAGAGCTGGGGCCAGTTTCCAGAGCGCCATCAATGCCGGGTAGTTCCACGGAATGATAGCAGCCACGACACCCACGGGTTCGTAGCGCAGCGCACCGTGGAAGTCTTCCAAAGGGAGGTCCACCTTTTCATTCTGACGAGCGTCTAATGCTTCGGCGGCATTGGCATAATAAGTGAAGCAGCTGGACACGTCCTCCATGTCCCACACAGCCTCCGCGAGTGGCTTGCCATTGTCCATTGTTTCAAGGCGACTCAGTGCGTCAATGCGCTTGGCCACCAACTCGCCCATCATGCGCAGGTACACGGCACGTACGGTCCCTGAGGTGACACTCCACGTCTCAAACGCTCGCTTGGCCGCCTGGACAGCTCGATCCACATCCACGGCCGAAGCGACGGCCACTTGCTGGATCACCTCTTCACTTGCGGGGTTCAGCACGTCAATGTACTTCTTGTCAACGGGTTGTACCCACTTGTTGTCGATAAAGAGTTCCTTGAGTTCGCTGATCGGGTCGCTCATTCTGTCGTATAGCAAAGAACGAAGACACGCGTGGTGAGTAGATTCAAAAGTGATTGCATGGAGAAACGGCCCGGACGAAGATATGCTGTCGATCGCGTGGTCGCGGCAGCAGGTCCAGGTTGCCTCAGCTCTGTGGCATTTTCTAGCACCCGTCTACCCTCCCGCATTCGGATGCCTTTGCATCAGGGGATCCAGACAACAGCACGTTCTGACGACACAACTTCAACGTGCGTGTACTTCTGTATCACGGTGCTGGTCTCGACGTAGCACATAGAAGCGCTCGTCCAACTTGTTGTGCCGGATCGCCAGCGTATCGGAGCCTATCTTTACGGGCGTCATGGAGTGATCTGTAGCCAGACGCGGGTCGTTCTAAATCATCGTGCTGCACAATCTCTCTTGCATCGCAGACAGACATACGACGTTCGTCGTAGTCTCAGGTGTGTGACGTGCTCCACGGAGAAGATGCTGCTGATGTTAACTAGAAGCACTGTGTTGCCAGTGGTGTCGTTAAGGCTGCTGTAAGGATGGTATGGGCGGAACGCGACGTCAACACGGCGCTCAGACTTCTCAGTTATGGTCGAGCACCCTCAAGTTGGCGTACGACTCGGAAGACAAGTGTCAAGAGCAAAGCAAAGCGCAACAGGAGCTCATATGGTAAGGTCAGTTGACCAGTGTCTGTTCTGGGTGCGGTATTATGCAGCCCAGTCGCGATGTCTTTGAGTGAGAAGGTGAGGTATATTTAGGTACGCGTACGACCTGCTATATCCTGTCACCCGGCAACAAAGTTACCGTGGCGACCGCTACTTCATGTACTAGGTAGCACTAGGTCTCGAACAGCAGACGCCTGCGCGCAGACTCCGTCTCGAGATGAGCAGGTTCTTCGTTGTCAGTACGGGGCCCTGTATTACGTGTTGTTCGGCCTGCGAGGTCTCCACCCAATGATTGTCATCAGAATCAAGGAAGCTCGTAGCCTCCTGGACCAGACCTGGGTTAGAAGTAGCGTGCGCTTGAACCGAAGCTCCCGAGTCCATATTGATATTCGACACGTCATGATGTCTTTGCACGTGGTGTTTTCCGCGAGGTCATACAAGGCGGACGCGTGCATGGATCGTGGACAATGGCTCTGTGGCCCAGAGCGACACCGATACGGAAACGCTGAGGCCATGCACGCAATGAAGAGCCATCAGACAGCTGACAACTGAAGCCGAAGGTGAGCGCAGCCGATACGGTCAGTGACGACTACTCGACCCTTGATGTGAAGCAGTGCCGCGCGTTGATTTTCCGGCACATAGATGGAAACGATACTGACGTTGGCGACTACTCGACTACCGGCAGCTTCCCGGCAATCAAACAAAGAGATGCTTGGCAGCAGCTTTTGACGACCTTCGCTGCTACGTAAGACACGTCGCTTCAAGTGACGAGTGTTCCGTGCAGTAATCGAAGCACCTGCCTCGCAGTCTCTCAATCCAGTATCGGCTAGCCTCAGACATCGTAGATCATAAGCTGAATGGAGTCGATGACAAGTGATAGCACGTTAAGCGTCACGCCTGGACACGAGAACTCAGACAGCTCTTAGCGGGATATAGCATCGCTGCATCGGGTGTTTCGCCTGGTTTCGGGCGCCCGCATCTTCCAAGTTCTCTCAGACGTGGCAGCTGTCTTTGTTCCAGCTCGTTCGATGCGTCCGGTAGAAGCCCAGTCTACCACTTTTGACGCGCCGCATTCCGGTATAGAACTACACTCGGGCTGCTACGAAGAACTTGTCTACACGCGGATTCCGCAGAAATATCGTACGCACGTCTGCGAACTCAATGGTCTCGTTTCTTTCAGTTGACCGTCGTACTTGACCTTTTTTCCTCCTGTTTTTGTTCATGGCGCATGTGCGAGCAAGAAGCGCACGATACCTCGTTCACGGTCAGTCTCCCACTCTTTAAAATCCTTCCACAAAGCTCGGGTTCGTGAGGGTGTCTTTCCGACCATTCATGTTGGAACAGTGATCCAGTGCTTGTTCTGTTAGCCACAAAGCAGCTCCGCGTCATCACAGCGCTCGCAGATAGCTCGCCTGTATTACGATGCGGAAGCCGCTTGAAGGGCGGCTAGAATATCCAGTTGACGCGGAATCGATCGGATACCCGGCCTGTAAAGCACTTTTGGTGTGTTCACAGTCGTTGCAAGAGCTCCTCTGGCAACGTTCACCGAAGTCTTTCGCGGTGTTTGCTTGACTCATGTGGACATGGCTAACGATAGATCCTGATTCGTCGCATCGAAGTCCGACGCGACGAATTCTGCAGTGACGCACGACCAACGTGATGCTAAAACGACAACAGCAAGTGCCGGATGGAACGACCGCGGAATTCTGCGCGTACATGTCGGAACACAAGAGCCATCATAAGGCCCAGTGCTTTGACGCGGCGGTCGTGCGAGACCCACCAAGTGCAGAGAAATTGCGCTGGTCAAGAATGCCGTTTACATACAAAGCGTATCTAAACTGCCCATCTGTAGCATCGCACAAAACTACTGTGTACAATATCCTGTAATTGCACGACAGTCACCACGTTCGTGTGTTTGTAGTGTGTATTCCGATTCGTCGTCTGTTGTCCTGGTGAAGTGTCACGCTTTCAAGTTGAAGTGGCATTCATTCCTAGTACTACTTCTTGTCGGATGCTGCTGCTTTTTCGACAGTATGTATCACCAAAGGCCATCTGATTCAGGCCCCATTTCAGCCAATCTAAGTCAACAACAATCAATGGACCAAACTGTCCGTGCGCCAGCGACCGACGTCGCTTCAGGCGCTCATCGCGCGCGTGCGGTCGAAGAGGGCAACTGCAACAACAGCACCGACGACGACAAAGCTCAGCACGACCTGCACGACGAGTCGGCCACTTCGCTCGCCTCTCCTTGTCGCTCGCAACTGCCCCAACTACCCCAACCACATGACGGCGCATCCGAAGCTCCAATATCTGATTCGTCGGCCTCTTTTTCCAGCGCATCTACCGAACCCGCACGCGCATTGCAGCTGCGCCGATCGTCTTCACTACATCGTGCGGTCTTTGCAAGCAGCAGTGGCGGGTCAGATAGTGACCGTCCGGGCCGACGATGGCGAAGCGACGAACAGGATAGTCATAACGAGGATGACCGCGCGTCTTCTGAGCTGGTTCTGCAGCTCCAGAGGCTCTGCAGACGCCAGAGACAACGTGCAGAGGAGCGCGCGTTTGTGCGTGATGTCGAGCGCGTGATGGCGCTGCTGAGAGCGCCACTACCGACGTCAAGAGATGTGCAAGTGACGTCCGCGACGTTTCCAGGCTACGGGCTGTCGCTCGACTTGCTGAGCAGTGGACATGAATCAGACACAGTTGCTGCAGTTGCAGTTGACGAGGGGCAGAGCTCTGGGACGAGTGACAGCTCTCGGTTCAGTACTGGACGTGTCAGGAGATCTCATGACCGACGCTTCGCGTCGCGCGTGACGCTCACGTTGGCGGAAATTGATGCTCTTTTGGATTGCATCGCCGACTTGTTTGAGCATCGGAACCCGGACGTGCGGGCACTAGCTTTTGAGGTGGTGCATCTTTGTGTACTGCGCTTTGGGGAGCGATTGACGCCAGCGCTGAGAAGAAAGATCTACTTGCAACTGGAATCGCACCCGTCAAAGGACTTTTTGCTGCGGCAGAAAGTTCTTCGTACACTAACTCACGATGGCCGGCACGTGGAGCCGTTTCACGTTGAGCTAGGCTGGTTCTTGCTGCGTCTCTTGGAACAGTCCGATGCGCAAAAAGACTTGCTTGGACTCATCCAAAGTATCTTGCGTCGCAGTCCTCGAGCACTCGATCGTGACAAAGTGATTGCGATTGTGTCGGTCATCAGTGGGCGATGCGACATTGCATGGAGCCGTAGCGATTTGGATGCGTGTCACAGATCGATCGCTTTTTTCCATGTTTTGGCAACGCATGACTTGGCGTACGCGGCAAGCACACCGGCATGTTTGCGCTCGCTATGCTGCCTTGTGAATGCGGATGGTCACGGGACGTGGTCAGTCATGAAACTGCTACTGACTGGATGTTCTGGTTTCCTCGTACTGCGGGGATTGGTGCAGATGCTAGAGCACCCGACTGGAGTCAATTCGCCTTGGGTACTCCGAGGTGCTGTTTTCTTTGTGGGCATGTCTTGTTGGGGCTCTCAGCGCGTGGCTAAGTTTGACGACATCGCATGGGGTCCCATATTGCTCGCCCTCGAACGAGCTTTGCAGTGTGGTCGGAGAGTAGTCGTATTTGAAGTAATTTTGTCGATACAGCGCCTTATCAAGAAATTCGGTACCGCTCATCTACCAGCTGCTAGTGGCGGACAGAGCACTGCAAGATCGACGAACATGTCGACGAAGGCTTCACCACATTGTGGAGACAGCAGAGAGGAGACGAGTAAGGTTGGCTCGGGGTTTGGTCCACCAAACCCGGGTGCTGACAGCGATAAACGTTGCTTGATCGTGGAGTGGGATATAATTTTGCGTATGCTCCATACCCTAAGGCCGTGGGCATCGGTGACAGATGAGAGTGAAACAGAGGAGTTCCCTGAGAGAATTTCGCAGCCTAATGATCGACGTATGGGTGGAGACGTAAATCAGCCTGCGCCTGTTCATCCAACAAACGACTTGCCGGATCAGCCGCATCCACAATTGCTGGTATCAATCCAACAAACAAGAGTTCCTCGCGAGCTCCTTGACACTCTACTAGCCGTGGAAGACCTCGTGGAACGACGTCGCTTTGCCGGCGATGTAAAAGAGTTTCTCAACATACTCGAACAATATTTGCCGCGTCTTTCCGAGGACTCGATGTTGTTTTTACTACGACAGCGTGCTGATGCAACTCATCCGGGATACCATCTGACATGGCTCACCACTTTGTCGAGTGTAATGCGCACATTCTTTTCTGGCGTTAGTTCTGATGGTGATGACCTGCTGATACCTAGAGCAGTGCGCTTGGAGGCACTCGAAATTTTGCGCGTCAACTTGTGGACAAGTCGCTACGTGTGCGAGGACCGCGTGATTGAAGAAGTGGTGATTCCAACGCTTGGTCAAGCATATAACGATCCCGATGCAGAGGTGCGGCGTCGCGCGCTCGGCTTCATCATCGAGGCAGCGCGTCAGCTAGAAAGTGCGAAGTTTGACTCATTGCTAGACATTCTTGCGAACGCGATGATACATTCCGGAGACAATGATGCTCAACTTTTGGCAGCATCTGGCGTCGTTTCTCTCTTTTCGTCAGCATTCGACCATTTGCCACCGGCGCGCGCCGTTCGCATGTACGATCTTCTGGTTACGACCGTGGAAGTCCATCGCAGCCGTGCTGTTCGGCGTATTGCGCTATCGTGTTTACTGTGTGTATGCGAAGCACGTGCGATTGACGGTAGACTTCAATGGAAAGAGCAGCAACAAGTTCGCACGTCACGCTTCCTGTTTATTTCTCGACGTTCTGCACGTGTCAACTCAAGCAATATCCAGTCGACTGCAGCGCGCGTGCCAGTTGCGCGCGCATTCCGCGCTCTACTCTCGTTAGTGACTGCGGAGCCTGACGCTGAGCTTTTCCGTATCGCAGTTCAAGGCATCAAAACCATGCTAGAAAATCGTACAATCCTGGAAGATGTAGATGTGAGCGAAGTGTCGGCAAAGATTGTGGCAAGCATCGACTACGGAGCTTTCGGGAGAGCCGCAATTGCTGATGAGGTTGACAGAATGCTTGGCGACCATATTGGTCAGCAAAAGCTGGCCAGTGTAGATGCGTCGGTTTGCCGAGATGAAAAGGATCGAGAGGAACACGTAGCTATTGATCGCTTGATCTCGCAAACGAACGTGGAGCTCGTGCACTCGATTTACGTGAAAAGAAGACGTGACGATCCTGACAAGAGTGCGAAAACGTTTTGCACAAGTTTGCGAGCTACAATCGTGTTGCTCGCCAGAACACGGTACCTCGGCATGGGAATCGAACTGCTGCAGCTTCTTGTGAGCTACGATTCAGAGCTGCACTATCATACGCTGCAAGAGCTCACGCGATGCCTTGTTGGTTGCATAGAATCACGCCTGGCAGTTGCTGATAAAGACTTTCTTATGGGTGGTGCTGCTGCAGAAGACTCGACCTCATCGTTGTCCGCGTCTGTGTCAGCTCCAGACATGCTATACCGCCATGATGGGGCAGAGCCTGAGCCTCGTATCGCGGGCACGTTCGTGTCTGACACACCTCTCGGATTCACCTCCCGTGTGCTATCGCGCTTCCAGACTTCCGCTTCACACGGTAGCCTCTTTCACGCGTTTTCGGGGTCTATGGGCAAATCAGCACTAGAGCACAAACCAGGATCGAAGTCGCCGTCTGAAAAGGTAAACACCTCATGCTCTCGTCCAACTCGCAGCGACCAAGCGCGGCTGCAAGGTCTCTTACACCAACTCTTTGACTCGGAGTTCAGATCGATGCACACAACGACAACAGTGTTGAGTCTGCTGGCAATTCTGTCTCCGGCATCGGTGCTAGGTCAGCTCGATAAAATGTTCCAAAATATGCGCTGCCTTATCACGACGGTGGACGGCGGCTTTCGACCTGACGCTTTTGTCGCGATGCTGGAATTGTTGGGAACCATAACGTCTGTTCTTCATAACGGACCAGAAGACAAGGCCCGTTCTGCTCGCGAAGCAATTATAAAGACGGTGCTGCTAGGCTTCGAATACGCGAAGTCGAAGCAGATTGTCTACCTTGCCTTCCGGCTTTTGTGCCAAGTCATTTATCAAACGCACTCGAAGAAGGAGCGGTCACGTCTTGCAACTCTGGCGATACCAACACTAGAGCAGTGTGCGCATCGCGCGAACAGCCTATTGGCAGAGGCAGCCGTCGATTTCTTGATGTGCCATGCGTACACTCACTCGACATCGGCCTCGTCGACACTATGTTCTCGGCAGCAATCTGGAAGTGATGATAGTGGAGCGACAAGGCTGTGTACCGATTCTCGTCGAACAAAGTCGAGGTCCTGGGTTTACCGAAGGTCACTGCTGACGATTACGACGAATTCGCGCGGGAACGCATCACTGATCATTCGAAGGGCGAATTGCACGAGCAATTGGGAGCTTGGTGTAGGTCGTGCCGCATTATCTACCTCCTGTCCACTGTTTGATGTGCACAACCAAAGCAACTATCGCCCCCCGATGTCTGACCCACTTGGAATGCAGCCAATGGGGATAATCGGAGACAGGAGTACGGTTGTACCACCCCGGTCGCTCGATCGTGTTGAGTCTCGACCATCCTATAGTCGGTGTCAATCACGTCCACACCATGGAAACGATATCCAGGCGGTTGTGAGCTCATATGATGAAGTAAGGCGCAGGTCGCGCAACGAGCGAGTGGTGGACAGCGTCGGAAATGCAGTAAGCAGCAACGACTGCGGTGCGCAAGCTTGGTGCTCTCCGCAAGAATCAGTATCGCAGCAGTCAGCCGATATGACGGCGTTACCACCACTGCCAGCACACGATGACATTATCGAGTCACCGTCATACTGTTGTGAAAACACACAAGGTAAGGATTACGAACTGGGCCGTTGTGTATGTACTAGTTGGACTAACTCTGTGCGGACTGATACTGTTGTTGGCTCTACGTGTAGTTCGGTGTCACACACAGCGAAAGCGTGATTCCTTGGACTGTAGAAGCAAGAGCAAGCAATACAGACAAGCGGAAGGGGATGATGGAGAAGAAGGTTCGTCGTGCAGATCCGTCACTCGCTCCAAACAGGAAGATGCCGAAGAAAGTGCCGACGTTGAGAGGCGACAAGAACTTGCGAACAATAAACGCTGGGAAACTGAGACGGATACGGTTTCACACAACGATCGTCTCAGCGACGGGTTGCGTCTACGAGTAGTGACACCAAGCACTCTGCAATCTGGTGAAGCCAACCCCTCGACGACCGGAAGCGTGTGCGGACGAGACGAGTACGATCCGACGTGCTTGATGACGCAACTGTTTGATCTAAGCGTCAGGAATCGTCCACAGTTGCTAAGAGATGGACCAGCACTGAAGCTGGCGCTCAACGTGCTGGATCGTACGCCAGAATTGGAGACACACAAGATCGGTCTGTTGTATGTCAGAGACGGTAAAAAACCTTCCGAGTCCACTATTCTAGGGACTGCCGGCGGATCGCTGCGTTACTTGCGATTCTTACGCCGTCTGGGCACCTTCACTAAACTGGAGGGGTTTCCTGGTTATACGGGAGGGCTTGACACTATGAACAACAGCGATGGCAAATTTGGTCTCGTCTATCAAGACGCATGTGCACAGGTACGCGTGAGTCCTCGCAACAAGTGCGCGCGAAATCTGACGTGTGTTGTTGTTTGTTTCTGCAGATAATGTTCCACGTGGCCACGATGATGGTTCCCCAAAGCTACCGACGTGACAGCAACCCCGCTGCAGAAAACTTTGCCTCGATGCAAAAGAAGCGCCATATTGGGAATGACTTCGTGCACGTGGTGTTCAAGGTACGAATCGTGGATTTTGCTCAGCAAAAAGTAAACGTATACCAGCTAAGCACTGACTCCTGGATTTGTCATGATTAGGAATGTGACGAGGACTACGACTTACGGACAATATCTGGGCAGTTCAACGATGTGCACATCGTCATTCAGCCACTCAATGACCACGAGTATCGCACGCAGGTGCACGTCAAGCAAGGGATTGCACCGTTCGGACCGCTTTACGGCAGACAGGTTGTGTCCAGCAGCATCATCTCGGAGTGCGTGCGACTCACTTGTATGAACGCCAATCTGGCATGCCAGGTGTTCCACCAAGACCTCATAGGGTTCGCTCTGAACTGCGAAGAGCGCTTGAAACAAATCAAGCAGTTGGGACTTCGACTTGCTACTTCGGGTGACTGGAATCTTGACGAGTGACCGATGTTGTGCGGCGAGGAGGGCAAAATATGGCGTGTGATAAAAGCACTTTGTGCGAAGAGTCAAGGGCGATGGTGCCATCGGGAGAGGCAATCGTTTTGGCATAGCGGACAAAGTTTGACGAGACCACTGGATACCGCGAGTCTGTTGCTGAGATTGCATCCGCTCTGACGATGCTGTAGGCACGCGCTTCTCACACTTCAGTCACGTTGATGCAGGTAGCGGTCATGCGGTACCAATTAGCTCGGGTTGGGGCTCGATCTCGAATGCTGCGGTCTCTCTAGTTGTTACCGGCTTGCTCTGAGCGCTCGAAGCTCAATCCTTTTGTCAGGTAGCACCAGATAGTAGCGATGTGAACACCACTCATCTGTACAATGTGTTTGATGATATCCACATCGTGAGAAATGTACATACGCGACGGCTTGGAAGTCTATCTCGAATCTCCATCGCTTACGTTGCTCGACAAGTAGATAAAGGCACGAATATAGGCGAGACCTGCCACCCCATGCAAATGAAGTAACACCGACTGTTTCAACGTGAGCGCCACCATTCTTGTCGCGTGTGATTATCGCCACTGACTCACACTTGTCTTTTTTCACTTGGCAATCTTGTTCAAAAGGGTGCAAGACGCAATCTGTGCTGAGCTCGAAGGATGCTCAACACTCGTCACACAGTAGCGACAACGAGAGATAGTCCCAGATAGTAGGCGCGCTGGATACTCGACATAAGAATCGGTCGACGGCGAATCTGAAGAATACGCTCATATTCGTTGAGTGAGGCGCGATATACAGTCATCTCGCGGAAACGCGTGCCTGCGCCACTTTCGACCCGAGCATGGAACGAGTTGGAAACACTAGTGTAAAATAAGCAGTTCGATGCTCTGCGTAGCCAAGAGCACTTCCTCGTCGATTGCGTCAAGGTCACCGCATCGAATGTGCGCAATGAGAACCTGTAGTATGCTAACTAGATGCCCCGCTGTATTGCTGTCGAAAGATGGCACATGTATAAATTGAAAAGATTGAACCACACAGTGTAAGGTCAGCAACAAACTACAGCGAGTGTGTCAGCATGACTCGTCTTTCCATCAATCTCTGGTCTCGCTGCATACCATTGCATCGCTGCGTCGAGCATTTTTGGCAGCCTCCCGACACAGGGTAAGCTGTACACGGAAATGGCGCAGTCAATGCTTTGGCTTCGATCGGCCAGAGATCGATTCCAATAGCGCGTTCGTAGCAACAGCTTTTACAGCGCCTACTCACTGCTGCTACTGCTGAAAAGCCTAAGTTTTACGAATGTTCAGACTGCCGAAAATGCGTTCTGGTGAACGAGTGCACAGATGGAATTTCATCGTTTTTGTCAATTTTTACGCTCAAAAAGATGCTGCGTACAGTCTTGTCGGTCGAAGTGTGACGTTGAGGAAGGACGAAGCTTTTACACGCACAGTCCCACAGAACGTATCGACGGCGCGTATCCAGCAAAGAAGGCAAATGTGAATCATAGACACGCAAACCATCTCAGTAAAGAATGGTTGTCGTACCGTCCGGTAAAGAGACGACAGAAGCTGTATGGCAGCCTCATCATGGATCGTGGCCAAAGCTGCTGTTCGGATCCGTCGGTAGACGACGCAGTCGCGTAAGAACGGAGCGGAATTGACCCGATAGTGGAAGCTGTAGCCCAACTATGACGTAGGCGGGGAGTGGACATGACCCTTGCAAGGCCGTTGCCACTCATGCTCACAAGAATTACCATAGATATGCGATGTTGAAGAGCTTTGTAGCCTCTCTCGAAGGGGCGCAGTCACTGCTGACATGTAAACGTGTTACTTGCAGTGACGGTTTGACAAACATGTTACGTAACGGAAAGCCGATAGCGCGGACGATTGAGGATGATGACAATACATCAATCGACATTCCGGTCGACGTGCCGCGAGAAGAAGATTGACGCAATCGATGATGAATCGAGGGCCGGGGGGAGAAGGCTTGTGCTCGTGAGTGTATGTGAAAAGAACAGAGTCGTAACGAGGACGTGCGCCTGCATCGCACGCAAGTTCGTGTCCATTTTGGGTCTCAGGCAGCTACTTGCAGTCAAAACAGCACCGTCATCCATCCTGACGTCATCTACGCCATCGTCTTCGCAGCTGCACAGGTAGCTTATCGAGCGTGCTTGCTTACTTGTCAAGAAGACTCGTGCAGCAGTACGTATTGCATGCATGTGGTCACAAAGAGAGAGGCGTGCCGTAGAAGACGGTTCAAGCAAGACTATGCACTGCGCATCTACTATATCGTATTGCGGCATCAGACACATCTACCCGGTGCCGACGATGAGCCTTGCGGCAATGCTGTACTCTTTCGGTTATCGTTTACATGCACCGTCTATCTCATCTTGCACGCCGATGCACAGTGATTGCATCGTGCACGCATGCAAACGCAATCGTAACCACGTTGTTGACTGACTTCGCTGCTGTGCGACAGCCAAACGAGGATGAGCTGATGCCAAGGTGGTCGGACAAGAGATGGACAAACGCATAGAAGCCTGTGGAATGCTCATCAAGGCGTCTCTTTGCTCCTCCTCCTCCTCGACTGCCTTTCATGCCTTGAGTGTCAGCTGCTGTAGGCGGATGCGGCCATCTAGAGAGAGAGAGGGTCAGATCGTCCATTTACACGGCATGACTATGTGCAAGATCGTTGAAAAGTCAGATATGGACATTTACTTGTACAGGTGATGAGCACGTTGTCGCTAGATTTTCTCTCGTGCATATTTTACGCGATGATTTGCGCAAGTGACGTGTCAACGCGCGTGTAGTGAATCTGACGTGGCTCGTACATTCACGAGGATGCGCGTCGCCCTCGAGAATGGTAGCGAACATCAGCCAGGTTCAAGGGCATCCAACGGTAGTTGGGGACATAAAGCTAGGTACGAATGACGTGTCAATTGTTCGAGAAGCTCGAGAGAGAAGCGAGCGTTGGCTTGCCAGGCAGGTGGCAGACACACGTCGCGCTCATCCATCACACGTCTTGACACTCTGTTGCGGACCTTTCTCGGAACTAGCAGCGCAAAGAACGGTCCTCGTGACTGCGATGTTGTTGTTCCTGCAACGTCGACAGATGAAACTGTCCACGATTCATCCACCGACACTTCGGACTTTCGACCTGAAGCAGAGAGGAGAGTAGCGCAGAAGTCATAGGTGTCAAGAACGGCGAACACTTGCCATGTGTGGCTGCCAGCTCAGCGTGCCGTACATATCTCGCTCGTGTATCTGCCCGACAATCAACGTCAGTGAAAAGACTCACACCAATATCTCACCTGGTTGCGTAGTTGTCAGCTCGACGATTCGTAGTCATCCCATCCGAGATAATGGGATCCAGCTCAGAAGGTGCACCTACGTATCGAGCGCATCGCATCATCAACGGATCTGCGCGGCGCTCTCCGTCGTCTCCCATGGCCTTTCTGTCTCCTCCTCTCGCACTACGATCACGAGCGACGGGGGTTTCGTTGAGGGTGACCGCCCCCTGCAGACGTTCGGGCAGTTAGACGTTCATTGACGAATTTGCCTCGTAAGACTCGAACCCATTGCAGCCCATCTGCGTCATCACTATGACCACCTCCAGCACCTCCGCCACCCACAACATGAAGTACCGCTATCTCGGCAACTCTGGTCTCCTCGTGTCGCGTCTGTCATTCGGCAGCTGGGTGACGTTCGACACGCAGCTGGACTTTGACAAGGCATACAGCATCATGGAGCACGCGTACAAGCAGGGCGTCAACTTTTTCGACAACGCGGAAGTGTACGCCAATGGTCAATCGGAGATCATCATGGGCAAGATCGTGAAGACTGGTATTGACGCCAAGCTGTGGGCTCGCGAGGACCTGGTGCTCAGTACGAAGCTCTTTTTCGGCACCAAGTCGGGTCCTAACGACGTGGGCAATAGCCGCAAGCACCTGGTGGAAGGCATGAAGGCGTCCCTCAAGCGGTTCGACCTGGACTACGTCGACCTGGTCTTTTGCCACCGTCCAGACCCTGCCACGCCTATTGAGGAGACGGTGCGGGCTATGAACTTCCTCATTGACCAGGGCTGGGCGTTCTACTGGGGCACAAGCGAGTGGTGCGCCAAGGACATTATCGAAGCGTGCGAGATCGCCGACCGTCTCGGTCTGGTGCGTCCCATATTCGACCAGCCGCAGTACCACATTTTGGAGCGCTCGCGGGTCGAGTATGACTTTGACGTGCTGTACAAGAAGTACAATTACGGGCTCACGACGTGGTCGCCGCTGGCGTCCGGTGTCCTCACGGGTAAATACAGTAAGGGCATTCCAGAAGGCTCGCGGCTGTCGGTGCCGTCGTACAAGGCCATGCTGTCGAACGGACTGGACGAGAAGATTGCCAAGGCTGACAAGCTGGCCGAGGTGGCCAAGGAAGTGGGCTGTTCGCTGGCGCAACTGTCGATCGCCTGGGTGGCGGCCAACCCGCACGTGTCGACTGTGATTCTCGGAGCAACGAGCATCAAGCAGTTGGATGAAAACTTGAAGGCGATGGAGTTTGTCGACAAGATTACGCCCGAGATTCGCGAAAAGATTGACGCGATCGCCGATTTCAAGCCCAAGTCGATCGCTCAGGCTGAGCCGTACGTGATCAAGCTGCGCCAGAAGTGGCTGTAAGTGGTATACATATCGTTGCGCCACGTGCCATTTGTGCGCGTTGGCGCCGCAGTGCGGCCGTTACTTGTCGATTGACAGAGAAGAATGTTTAACGAGCAGATATACGCAACGGTAGACGGCACGAGCATGCGTAGCTTGTTCTGCGCACGTCTATTGCTTCCGCTTGTCTCTCGACACGTCACACCGGTCATCGTTTGCACTGTTACATGTACCCAGTTCCGCATACGAGGAGCTTTACCGATCTGGTTGCACAATGCCAGTCCCTATTCTCGCCATGCTCACCACGTGCTGCAGCTAGAATCAAAGTGTTTCTCGGGCAGCTACAGCTATGCGTGTGTTACACG